TTATTATTGTTGTTGTTGTTGTTGTTATTATTATTACTATTATTATTATTATTATTATTATTATTATTATTTAAAGAGAACGGGGCGCATCTAAAAATTTTAACTTTCCTTTTGGTAATTAATATTATTCTCCGGAAAGTTACAAGATTTATATTTTATTACTCTATTGATATTATTGCTTTCCATCTGTACATTTTATTTTATAAGCAGTTTGCAAATAAAACATCTAAACAATATTTTTATTCCTATTTCTACAGTACTTATATCTGTACTTAGTGTAGTCGGTCACCCAGTCAGGAACCTAAGACGTCTGGAATTCGCTTAACATTCGTGACTTCACGTAATTAAAGAGTTCGGTTAGCGACGCCAGCTTTACGGTAGTAGCCTTTAAGTTTAAACATACCAGCATTCGCCTGGATGATCTAGGGAAACCACGAAAACACCCATCAAGATGCCAGCATGGGGACTGAACCCGAGCCTCCTGAATGCGAACTCAGCGCGCTGGGCCCCGAGCCATTTCGGTTGGTATTCCTACTGTACTAATTTTCCGAAGGGAAACGGATCTTCAAACACAAATAATCTGTATTTAAAAAGTGTGCCAACGCCTCAAATGAATAATTATAAAAAAATATTGTGTATAGTTTATTGTTAAGATTATTTGAATGAATTAACAAATATCGTTTGGAATTATTTATAATTATATTGGTCTCATGCACTCCCCCCACCAGATCCGTCTTAACATCTATCAGGCTGCCGGAGCATCTAATTCCCTTAAACTCGTGGAAGTAGATACACAACACGCCACCTGAAACTCCAATTTTGAAGCCGCGGCTTGAAGAGGTCATCGTGAATTGCTACTATCATAAGCGGTCAAGGAATCTTAACAATGTTCTGGAATTTCGAAACAGGTTTCCTCCTTTGCGCCTCCGGTTCTTCTTCAGTCTTGTGGTCACGAACAGCTTTTCTGTTAAACATTATTTTCTTTTAATGTCACTTTTTAAATGCATGCATCGATTGACAAACATGCTTATTTGGATTCTTTGTTCTAAATGTACAAAAATAACTTATTGAGTACTGAAAGTTGTGTTTCTTGTAATGACATTCTAAATTTAATGCAATAATATAATAAGTACTTAGTAGTGCAATTTCCCTTAATGTTTATCAGTGTAGTAAAAATACTCGGTTTATTTACGTATAAACATTGGACAAATTTAATTGAGAAAAAGTGATATGTTAATACAGATGTTAAGGTATGTATGTAAACGTCCGCTTGATCCATTTTGATTATTTATTACGAAGATAAAACAGAATGTTATCTTTTCGCTAGCATATTGAGATATGCAATACCAGTTGCTGATGAACGTGATAATGTTGTCGGTAATGACTAGAAATGATTGTTTCAATTTCCAGCGAAATGAGTGTCAGCTCGAGAGCTTATCTTTGGGAGCGATTTGATCTCAAAATAATGAGTAAAAAGGGGACATTCAAGTGTTTCATTAAGTTTCCCAAAATATTCATTTTAACTTCTTTGTTATTCATTGATGAATAAGAACCTTTCTAAAGCATCCCGAAGATTTTTTCTACTTCATAATGTTACTGCATGATAACCGACGAAGTGTTGTCCAGGGAGTTTTATTTTCGGAGAAATGACATCACTAGCAGCACAGCGGTGTCTTCCCGCCTGCTCGATGAAGCCAATGGAAAGGGACTGCGGTTCCGAGAGGGGAATCCCCTACTGCATACACTGAGAAATCAGCGCCAGGAGGGTGCACTCCTCCCTCGTCCGCCGCTGCACCCTCCCCCACCCCACCCTCTGCGTCCCCTGCCTGCTTCGTTCCCACTCTCCGATCTTCTGCTGGTGTGGTCGCCGCGGCGGTTCCCAGCGGGAGGTTGGCTGCGGCGGCGGCGGCTGAGGCGGCGGCAGCGGCGGCGGAGGCAGCACCCGAGGGGGTCCGCGCCCCGCTCCCGGAGCTCGATTTATGGGGCCATGAACGACTGTGACGTTTTCACTCTGCATTACAATGTTTTCCTTCCACGGCCGCCAATCTATATTGATAATCACGTATCGCATACATATTCTGAATTCGATATTAAATATGGACTTCGTATTTTTCTCCCTCGACTCGAGGGGACTGCGAGAAATGTGATGCAAGGAGCGGGAGGGAAGGATGATCTATGCTCTGCCGCGCTTTCTTGTCTGATTTGACGCTTTTCAGCTTGCTGCTGGTACTATCTTTTCGTAAGAAATGTCAGTTGTAACATTAAAAAAAGACTATATCTGAAACTCTGTTTCAAAATGTCTGCACTTTCAAGTAACATCTCACGTTGCATGTTACGTTCAGTACTAAGCTAGACCTTGCCAAACCAGTCGACAACGCGGGTATGCAAGTTATGATCGGAAGTCTTACGTCAACGCAATATTTCGCCGTATTGCACTGTAAAAATATTTTTTGTAAGTTTTCCCCAGATTCAAATTTGTGTCAGTTGTCTTAAGTATCGCAGAATTGAATTATTTCTGGGCTGTAGTATGTTTGAACAACAACCAAATGTATGCGCCAATTATTGTATTAATTGGTGATCGGCGCACACAATAGGTTGTTGTTCAAACATACTACATACTTAATACAATAATAGATATAATAAAATTACTTTATTATAAAATGAAGAGACAAATGTTTGCAACCACACAAACAAATCAGAATGTTGTACTTTACGTGTATTGAGAGCGTAGGCTTCCGCGGCCGGAGTCAGTATTTACTAGGCTGTCCGGGTGACGCCGCGTCC